GTATGAATTGCGCTAGCATTTTTGATGTTGACACATGAATTGCACTCTAAAACTTGTCTTGGTTGAATCGACTCATCGCGAGTCGTGAGAACAAACGTTTCCATATCTTGTCCCCGAACCAGGGTCTACGTCTCTCGGGTGCAGCAGCTTGCTCGAAGCAAGAGGGAGCAGGAGGAAGAGGAGCAGCGTGAAGCAGATCTCAAGTCTTTGAAGTGCAAGCTAGAGAGCGATTTCAAAGTCCTGGCCGACCTCAAGCCGTCTGACGATGACAGGGCCTTGTCAGTCAGCAAGGACATGAAATATCTGAGAGATCGGCAGCGGTGCTTCGGTGAAAGTTGTTCAGCTTTTAGACATTCATTCAGTTGAATTGTTTCCGCGCTTCCCCCGCCTTTAGAGATCCAATGAACAGGGCGTTTGGTGCCGGCTTATCGGATTGGAATCAAAGGAACGTACCAAATACATCCCCCGTATAAGTTCGAAGTGGCTGAGTCCCACTAACAGTGAGCACAATCGATGAGCACAAAAGCAGCACCAGGAAAATTGAAAAAAAAAGCTCTGGGTCCAATCAAATCTCCCATGCACTGCAAAGACTCTCCTGCTTTCATTTTGAAATGTGGGGCTGGTCCCGGCTGGCCTGGGCTAGTGGCTCTGCTTTCATTTTGAAATGTGGGGTTGGTCCCTGGCTGGTTTGGGCTGGTGGCCCTGCTTTCATGTGGAAATGTGGGGCTGGTCCCTGGCTGGCCTGGGCTGGTGGCTCTGCTTTCATTTTGAAATGTGGGGCTGGTCCCTGGGCTGGTGGCTCTGATTCTCGATTTCGTCAAATCTGGTGCTAGAATTCGTCAAATCCGGTGCTCGATTTCGCCAAATCTGGTGCTCGATTTCGTCAAATCTGGTGCTAGAATTCTTCAAATCTGGTGCTCGATTTCGCAAAACCTGCTGATTTTCTGGAAATTCTGCCCAGGGCGGAGACACAATCCAACTCAAACTCAAAAATCACTTACTGCCTGGTGCTCGAATTCGTCAAATCTGGTGCTCGAATTCGTCGAATCTGGTGCTCAAATTCGTCGAATCTGGTGCTCAAATTCGTCAAATCTGGTGCTCGAATTCGTCAAATCTGGTGCTCGAATTCGTCAAATCTGGTGCTCGATTTCGTCAAATCTGGTGCTCGATTTCGCCAAATCTGGTGCTAGAATTCGTCAAACCTGGTGCTCAATTTCGTCAAATCTGGTGATTCTTGTGGTGGTCCTTGGTGGTGCTCGATTTCGTGAAATCTGGTGCTAGAATTCGTCAAATCTGGTGCTCGATTTCGTTAAATCTGGTGCTCAATTTCGTCAAACCTGGTGCTTCTTGTGGTGGTCCTTGGTGGTGCTCGATTTCGTCAAATCTGGTGCTAGAATTCGTCAAATCTGGTGCTCGATTTCGTCCAATCTGGTGCTCGATTTTGCCAAATCTGGTGCTAGAATTCGTCAAATCTGGTGCTCGATTTCGCCTAATCTGGTGCTCAATTTCTCTGGCTGGTGCTCGATTTCGCAAAGCCCAGTGGTCGGGCTGGTGCCAGAGCCGGCAAAGCGGAGACACACGCGCGCAAAAATTGTGCTCTGGCTGGTGCTTGAATTCGTCAAATCTGGTGCTAGAATCGTTAAATCTGGTGCTCGATTTCGCCAAATCTGGTGCTAGAATTCGTCTAATCTGGTGCTCGAATTCGGCAAATCTGGTGCTCGAATTCGTCAAATCTGGTGCTCGAATTCGTCAAATCACCCCACCATGACCTTTGACAGTGGTGGACAAGCAAGACAAGCATTCACCATCTTATATCATTCGCAAGGCACACACACACATACACACCTTACAGAAGGGCACTGGGTATGGGGCAGGGGATGGGTGAAGTGAGGTATGATTCTGATCATGGTGAGATCTAAGTTTTCAATCTGGGTCAACCCCAGCAATTCATTGACCAAAATGTCCCAAAACCAAGAGCCATTTCCAGCAATTCGCTGGTGCTCGTTTTCATGAACACACTTAATAAAAATCCCTTGTTGAACTGTTACTGGGACTCAGCCCCATCTAACGTATAAGTGCTTCATTGGCTTTGATTTGGTGTTGGCAGCGAGTAGCTGTCTCAGGCAGGGGCAAGACTATGCGGATGAGTGGATGCTGAAGCATTGTACTTTGACGGAAGCAAACATGTTTCAGACTGGTCTCGGGCCAAGTGCAGCTCAAGCTTGATTCAAACCTGTATTTTGCACATCTAATTTTTCTCAGTGCGTGTATGAGATACTTTTCAACATTTCGCAGCTTCGCATCTTTAAATCAAATCTGGGGACAGAAATGTTTGGCAGGTACGTGATTTGTGCCATCGACTGCACCGTGTGGCCAGCAGATGCCAACTATCTTGCCGAAGCTTTTCGCACATTCAGCTCAATCCTGTCTATGTCATCAGAACACACGGGCTGGGTGCAGTACCCGTTGTTGACCAGCCAGACAAACAAAAGCGCGGTTATCAAACGCCGGCACCTGCTCGACAACTATGTTGAAGCACAACCTTACAGTGCACCACGCAGTGCAAATCCTCTTCGCGAAAGCGTCAAATTCCTCAGCCGGAGATCACAGCGTGCTTTGTCGCAACCTGCTGTGGCAGTTTTTCGTGGCAATTTCGAAGCCTCCAATTTCCTGGTGTCGGCAGCGGTCCGACTGGGAAAAGTGGGTCCATGTGAGCTCGTCCGCATTGCGGACATGATCGGGTTCGATGACTCCAGGCGCCCCGGCGCCTCGGCGCGTGTGGAGCAGACTCTTGGTGATTGATTACTCTCGAATGTTTCTTTTGTTGTTAGCTGTTAGCTGTCAGGCTGTCAGGGACTAACATTTGATTTTTGTGTTTCCATCTGACCGTGTGTGTTCTTGTCGAAGGAAAGGGCTGGGCTGTCACCGCAGTATGGCTTTGGGCTTGGTGGCCGACCTGGATTTGACTGCGAATGACCGAGTTCTGTTTGTGGACATCATCCCGAGTCGGCGCCTTGATTTTGGAAACAGTAAACCTTCGACGGTGGATGTTTGGGAAAAATCTTGGTTTAGGTTGCGAAATCGATCCAACTTGCGGAAACACGATGCGGCAACTCCCAGGCTGGTTGAGTTCGGCAGAGGACTCACAGGGCACAATTTGGGGAACCCTCAGACCATGTTCCACTACTTTGGCTTTGTGCCAAAGGAGGATTACAAGGACGCAGCCAACGCCGTGCGAGACATGGTGTACAAGACTTGGGACAACGCGCCGACCAGCCCACCAAAACAAAGGCCGCCGGAGGAGACATCGAGCTGCGGACCGGACTCCTGCGTGGCAGGTTCTTGCTTGGCAGGACGGCCGGCCTGTCTTTCCAGACACACTGCTCAGCCGCTCCACGGAGGGGACAAGCGAACATGATGAGATTCTGTCTGTCGAAGAAGGAGTTCGATCTCTTGCACCCCCCTGACCGAATCGCTTCTACCCGGCCAGTGCGCGCGCCTGCCCGTGTGGGTGGCCAATGTGACTTTTCTGATGGCAATGAACCTTTGGACGTTCAGCGTGATGTGTCGCTGCCGGTGGTGCCCGCCGACCACTTCAATGAGCCAAGGCCAGGTCAAATGGTCAAACGCGTCTTCAAACGTGTCCACCACAGGGGGCAACATTGGTGGCGCCTTGCCCTCCAAAAAGCTTGATGATCTTGAGAAAACCAAAGAAAGGGGCGCCGCCAGACATTTTGTATGCACGTTAACATTCACTAGGAGGGGTTGGGCAGGCCATTTTATAGATATAATTTGGCGGGCACCAGCTAAAACACTACAGAATGAAGAGGTACCGGAGAAAACATCACTCTATAAATTGAGTGTGACTGTTGAAATATGAATCAAGCAGCAGTTGACAACTAAGATAAACATGATCCAAGTGGTCCTCTATAAATTGATTTTCCGATGATCCCAATGTTTGGGGTCCACAAATTAAAAACAACAAAAACAATTTATAGAGGAGATATCGTATGCTTCATACATTCAGACTCAAAACCAACAAATCATTTTATAGAGGAGATTTTGACTAATCCTGAAAAACGGAAAACATTTTATAGAGGACCATTCCTTGACCGAAATTCGCGCCTGTTCAATCCTTTTTCAACATCGTCGCAGCTGTCGGTTTGTGAATGGCTCGCAATCGTTTTGATTGCTTCGCTTTGCTTTTCCCATCCATGCATAAGCGAATGCCGTGCTGCCCCCAAATTTGTACGCACGTGATGCACAACAAAAAGTTCTGAATATATCTGAACATCATCTAGTACAACGATCTGTGACATCTATTTTTGAGGTTCCATTTCGCGCGCCATAATCCTAATCTTCATCATCTTGACTCATCTTGGAGTTTTTTGCCTTTTCTGCAAGATCCAAGAACCACATTAAAAGATTCTTCTGAAGCACCTAATTATGAAACTACGCTGTTGGACGTGCTGCTCAAAAAGTCCGCAACCTCCTTGAGGATGAGAAGGAAATTCTGTCGCCTGGGGGGTTCGCCTTTCAAGCTGTTCTCCGCACCATCAAGCATCTTGCCCACTGCCCGCGAATAGACAGCAGGAGTGCGCAACTGCGCAAACCTGGCACTGGGGAATATTCATATCACATCATATCACTATAAAATGAATGTGTATCAAACCCTTGTTAGATATGCCATGCAAAGCAATTGTTCCTTATCAATTTGTAGAGGAGAGAAAAAAAGAATAGAAAATAAAGATAAATAAAGGATGATAAAGGAGATCTATAAAATGATCAGGATTGGTTGAAAAAAACCTGTGAAATTGGACATGTTCATTTTATAGATGTATATTATTGAGTTTTATTGTAGATTGAAGTATATGAAATTGTTTAAATGATTTTAAATGTATTTTCGCGTCACGTTTCTATACGTTTCCAGCATTTTCAATCTAGTTCCATCTAACTCATTCAAATTTCATCTAATTCATTCTAATTCCATCTAATGCATTCTAATGCCAAGTCATTCCAAGGCACATGCCCTCGAAGCAAGATGCAATGGAATCGCTCATCTGCTGCATGGACAACCCCTCAGCGACTGGGTATTTCATTCGGCAAAGCCCGTCCAGCGAGAATGAGGGATTCTGTTTGAACATCAGTGAGTCGAGCTTGACCAGCTTCTCGAACTTCATCTTGATGGCTTCCCGGCCCTTTTGGGAGCGAGTGAACCTCTGTTCTGGCACTGTTTTGCTGCTAGTCGCCTCTGCTCCGGCTTCTGCTTCCGCAACCTCCTTCAACACCTGCGCAGCAGTTGGCTTCTTTGAAGCCTTGGCTGCTTTGGCTGATGAGTCAGTACCTTCTGCCTTCCTCTTCGCACCTTTTGGATTTGCCTTCGCCTTGGAGATGATTCCCTTGGGTCCCTTCACTCCACGTGTCATAGTGGCAGAGACATCCCAACGGGGAAGGGTATGAGCTTTTGCCAACGCCTCCGTGGACTCATCATTCAGAACCACTTTCATGAAGCCGTCATGGTCACGTGGATGCACACCTGAGCGACGTAACTTGGTGAATTGACAAAACATGTCTCTAAAAAAGTCTAGTCTAACAATGTCTAACATATCTATACATATCTTAACATCAAAAATGCCTTTGAAAAAACATACAACATCATACAACTTCATCTCAGGCACACCGTTCGACATCCAGAATGCAAATTAGTGCCTCTGTCCGGACAACCCACGCTGTGCTCTTCGAATCGCAAAACCAATCATTGCTGGGATCGTTGTCTGACATTTTGTTGAGCACAACCGCTCGGAAGGCGCTGCAGCTGTCGATCCGTATCTCTGACGCATGCATCTTGGGGGCCTTCACGCCCCTCCAGCAGCTCAGAACTAGGCCAATCTCGATCTCGCTTGCAGCGCTGGGCGTGTGGAACAAGACGACGTTGCCCGGCCTCAGCAAACACATATATACACACGTGTTCTTTTCTCAAGAAGGCTTTTCTACAAAATGAAAAGACCTCTAAGTTTTCAAAGAACTATGCTGCTACAAAATGAACCAACACCAAAAATGATACAAGGGGACTTACTACAAAATGACAAACACACATGCTTTCTACAAAAGCACGTATACAAATGTCTGTACATGTAAAGAGATAAATACAATTAAAATAAATTAAATACAATTGAATACAAGTCACATGATTCGTTCCGGTGGATTCTCTGGCAAAGCAAGGTGCTTCTGGGATTCCCGCACCATTTCCTTCCACTTCATTAGCCTGGAGGTTCTGGCCCTGTACTCCCCATCTTCTTTCTCAAGGTTCTGGCTTGCAATCTTCATCTCATTGTACCTGAAGCAAAAAAACTGAGTAAAAATGCATAGTCCACTCATGTCCACTCATTCTATAGAGAAAACACTTAGTCAAAAGAGATTTGTGGTCCACTCATGTCCCATCATTCTATAGAGAAAACACTTAGTAAACGTAAATATTGTATAATTCTGTGGATATTTGTGGTCCACTCATGTCCCATCATTCTATAGAGAAAGAAGACCGCTCATGAACAATTTATAAGTGGGTTGTCGCAAGCAGCTTCACAAGTCCATTCATTTTATAGATATTTAATATTGTATATTTAAATATTTACTTTTACAGTATATAATGAATTCTTACGAGTAGCTGATACCAGTTGAGACCTTTGGCAGCTCTGCGGCAGCTCTTCGCGTTCTTCAAGAAAAGGGTGTCCATTCCTCCTTTGGCATTTCTCAATCTGATGATGTGCCTAAATAAGGCATTCCACTTGTCGCCTGGCAAAAGAAGGGCCTCTCTGAGTGTGCTTGGCAGGTGATCTGGGTTGTCATAGCGGGTCTGCTTGGGACTCTTCGCCTGTTCACTTCCAAAGGCTTCAGCAGCATTTGCCAAGCGCAGAAGATGCTCAACCAGATCGCCACAAGGCATGCCTGATACATCATCTGGAGTGGTTTCCTGCTTCTCGCCTTCCTCAATCTCCTCCCCAAGCTCATAGTCAGTCAAAGCCTTTGCTAATGCTGACTCCTGCTGTAGCTGCAACAGAACATCTTGGCAAGATTCTGGAGGCCCGCCTGGAAGCTCACCGGACTCCTCCATCTCTTCAGGTGGCACCTCATAGTCCACAGTGGCCGGAGTGTCATCATTGTTACACATCCTGCGGTATTGCGCTTCGAGGTACACCTCCTTGATGCCACTACACATGGAAACCAATTCCAAAGATGCCTTCATTGCAAGTTGGCAGCACGTCTGGAACCTTACTGCCCAAAGTATTCGCTACAAAATGATTGGGTATAGATTGATATGAACATTATTTATTCATATTTATTCACAATTTCAGTACCCTTCAATTTTATAGTGATCAATCCACAGGAATTGTATGGAATTGTAAAGTTTTGTATGGTTTTGTAGGGTCACATTGGGATGATGACTATACAGTACAGTAGAAGAATGTAGAAGATTGTAGAAGATAGTATATGAAAGTTCTTCAAATCATTCAAGCAGCTGTTCATCGGTGAGCTTCTTTGGAGGTTTGTTTGGTGCATGCTTCACCTTCTTGGAATTGTTCAGAGCCTTGCCAGTCTTAGTGGCTTGCCTGGCATCTGAGGCAAAGAACTGCCGAGCGCTGAGCTGAGAGTTGGAAGTCATAGCTCTCAAATACTCAAAATGGTATTCTATTGGTAGCTCGGTCAAACGAGCAGTTCCGCTTGACCAAGCGTCGAAGCCATCTTCCATTGTGATGCAGATGATGATGACCGACAGGGCCACGTGCTTCAACGTGTTGCAGGTCTGCACGGCCATAAACGCGCTGCCTCCGGGCAACTGCAAGGACTTGCATTTGTCCTTGGCCAGCATCTCAAACATCTCCAAGCACAGGAAGCCACTGAGTGCGACTTCGCAACGCTCCTGAACTGTCAGAAAACCATGCATTGTGATGAAAGCATTTCCTGGGGCTTGGGCTGCGTAAGCTCCGCCAACAATGCCCTGCTGCTCAAACAATCGCATCTGGGCAGCTGTTTGTGTAAGGTATGTCGCGTCGAATGCCATGATGAGTCTGCCTAACCAAAACATTGAAAATGAGTGAAAATAAATAAAACTAGGTAAACATCTGTAAACAATTGTAAAATATTGTAAACATATATAGCACCAACAAAAGATCTCTATAAAATAGTTTGGTACCACCACCAGTAATTTAAAACAATGTAAAACATAGTCAGCCATATTCAATATCTAGAAATATCATGAAATATATTGAAATATCTAGAATATTCTAGAATATAATTCTCCGGAAGCATCTAGTCTGTGTGTCCCAGTGTGAAACCAATTAGACACAGGATGTTGATAGATGTTGGTACTATAAATTGATGGGGGGTTGTACTTGGGACTATAAAAAGACTGAGTGTCTGGTTCATGTATGGATGGACTATCTAGAAAATGACTGTGTATGTGTCAAACAAGGCACACTTACTCTCATCAACCTGTCGCTCGAAGCGCTGATCCAACAATCTGAAGTTACCCTTCAGGACCTCCCTGTCAAGTAATGCCAGCGCAGGTTGAGGAAGACTCAGTTCTCCAAGCTTGTTCAGAAAGTTGATCTTGGCAGTACTCATGCCAAACTCACGGCGCAATTCTGAGTTTCCGTTCAAAATAGCGAGTTGCAGACCTGTGTCTGCGATGGGTTCGCGCTCACGGTCACTCTCTCGACTTCGCCTGCCAACCATTGTGTGGATGCCTCGTTCTTCCTTGAGTGACTTTCTGTAGCATTGAAGCGCTAATCCAAGCAACATGGGATGCTGGTCGTACGACCCTTTCAAACAACCGACAGCGACACGAAGGCTTGCAGCGTCAGTTCCGGTTGCTCGCCCAGTGGCCAGCAGTGCGGTGACCTTTGCAATGCAGTCGGACAGAGCATCCGGCACCGAAGAAACGTTCACCATCAAGCAAGGTGCGACCACAGTCTGATGGAACACTTCCATTCCATGGCTCTTCCGCCCATCCGACAGCACTGAAGCACGTACAAACTGCTGGAGCTTTCCGTTGGGCAAACGGATAATCTGCTGTACTTTCTTTGGATCCTTTGCTTCAAGGAAAGACGACATCATGTCCGCCTCCACCTGGCTTGCTTCCTGTTGCCCCAAGAATAATCTAGATGACAGGAGTCTCGAGGAATAGTACTTCAGTGCAAAACGATAGACTGATTTGAAGACACTGTGCTGATGTCCAAGTTCCAAGCATTTGACACAAACATGTCTTGTCATCTTGGTTGATATGGGACATTGCTTCTCACAGTTGGCTGATCTGATGCACCAAGAATCCTCACTGGCTTCGTACCAGTAGCGGTGTTTTGCAAAATGGCTCAGGTTGCTAAGCGATGCCCACATACCAAAATTCCTGTTTGCACGCATGGAGCGATCCTGCACACTGGGGATCGTTCACGGACAAAGCTTCGCACTGCATCAAGATGCCCCTGGATGCTGGAGTGGCACAGCCATTCTTCTCATCCATGTATCGCTTGTAATTGCGCTTGTGCGTTGCGCAATCTAGGCGCTGATCCAGGAAGAAGCGCACAGATTTGGCCTTCGCGACGTTGAGGTTGCCAATCTTTCCCTGGGGTTGTGTCTTGCTCTTGCGTATGTTGCATCTGTATGGATATGATTTGCCGAAGTGGCCTGGCGGCAACAATGTGATGATTGGCTCATGCTGTTTCGCATAGTGAAAGGGGTCGGGAGGACCCTCAGTCTCAACTTCCTTTTTCTCACCGGCATCGGCATCGTCGCCTTCATTCTCACACTCACCATTGCCGCTGGTCTTGTCATCCTGCTCACGCTGTAGAGCACTGTCTTCAGCTGATTGCTGTGAAGGCTGTGATTGCGGCGATCCAAGGAACTGCAACACTTCCGTCTCAAGACACTGATGAGAGAACCCTGTCATGGTCAACAGGTCCTCGCATGCCCTGCATTTGATAGGATCGCCAGAGAGCAACTTTGCCTTGAGCTTCCTGAAACCGCCATCTTCGCAAGCATTCACTTTCTTCATGGGCGCATGCCTGGCACTCTCTATAAAATGACCAGACATTGTGAAACTGAACTGTACGATCTCTATATAATGATCAGTACCCTCAGAAAACATTAGAATAAAACTATATATATACAGTGTATATATATATATCTACTTGTATTTTATGTTTTTATTTACAAATATATATTTACAATATTTATATGATTGTAATTGAATGTAATTGATTGTATATGTATGTATCAGTATGATTGAGTGTCCTCTATAAAATGTTCAGGCATTAACTGTGATTGATGGGCTCTTTCTACAAAATGGTCCAGGGTTTACAAACATCACTTTGACCACGTCCAGCCTGGTGTGCATTTGTTGGAAAGCAGGCCATGTAAGTTCAATGGATGCCAAATAGAGGCTGGTGGCTTTAGCTTTCAGCTCATCATCGGAAGGCGGCTTGGCCTTGCAACTCCGCGAGTGTTTCTTCTTCTTGGAGACTATTGGTTCGGCTTGGCCACTGCCGTCTGCGAGTGTGCACGCTTGATCGGCTGCAGCTTCAGGGTCATCATTCTTGCCAGCATCATCCACATCATCATCCACCAATTGGCGTGTCCCTGCCTGCATCAACATCACAGTCTCCGATGGTTTGGCTCGACCAAAATCAGCTGGTCTGCGCTGATTCACTGCTTTTGGCAAGCCCTTGGACTTTGTTGGAGTTGCCAATGGTTTCTCTTCACTTTCAAGCGACTTCTTTGCAAACTTGGTGGGTCGCTCAGGAGTTTTTGGACAATCCGTGTCCGCTGTCTCTTTCGCTTTCTTTTTTTCTGCTTCTTTTTTGGAGGGCCCTGCTCGGCCAGAGTCTTCTCCACGAGTTCCGGTAGCCGAAGAAAATAAAACAGCAGCTGCCACTCTGGCCTATCAGCCATTTGCTTCCAAAGCTGGTTCAATTCCTGCAGTTGTCAAATACATTCAAATACATCGTATTATAATATTATAGTCAGTTTCTAATATAGTTATATAAAAACAAGTGAATACAAGTGACAAGATTAGACAAGCTATGACTCTAGAAAATGAACGTGTACAGACTTGAATGCATATGTCAAGCCCTAGAAAATGATGGGTCACCTATGTGAACAATTTTTGTGCGCTGGTTTCCCTGGGATCGATCTCACAAACAACATCAAAAAACGAGTTTCAACTCAGCCAGGCGGCTCCCCGAAACTCTGAGTTGGCTTCCTTCATGTCCTTTTCATGCTGCTCAGAACTTAAATTGTCATCCAAACAAGCAGGAAAGGTGATTTCTAGCATG